CATGTTTCTTGCTCTATTTCTCCCATTCCTCGAAATCATAAGGATGTTCTATCTAACCCAAATTGGAAGTGTGTCATGACCGATGAACTTAATTCTCATTGAAAATAAGGCATGGTTCCTCGTCCCAAGAAAAATATCTATGTAGCTCATTCCATGTGGATTTTTAAACCTAATATAAAATATTAGGCTTTTTTGAAAGCTATAAAGCTCGCATTATCGGCGATAGACGCTATGGTATTGATTATTGAAAAACTTTTAGTCTGGTTGTCGAACTGACTACTATCAAAACCGTCATCGGTCTTACCATCTCCGGTTCATGGCCTATTCACCAATTAGACGTTAAAAATGGATTTTTACACGACGACATGTTTACATGCATCATGCCTTGAGTTTTCATGACACGAACCTTCCTAACCATGTTTATTTTCTCAAAAAAAAATCATTGTACAAACTCAAGCAAGCCCCACAAACTTAGTACACCCGATTTGCGGATTATGTCCCCATCAGTTTTATCCATAGTTGATGTGATCACTTTCCTTTTATTTTACCGACCCAGTTTTGATGTTTCCTATCTTTTATTATATGTGGACGACATCATCGTCACCACCTAATCCGACATATTATCACTTTCTCTCTTGTTTCGGCTTGTGAATGAATTTGCAATGAAAAACCTTGGACCATCTAGTGATGTTTTTTTGGAATAGCCATCACACGTAATGATTAAAATATATTTCTACACAAAACTCAATATGCAAAAGAAATAATTGACTGTGTGGCCATGTCTACATGTAAACCTACACAAACTCCAATCGACACCAATAATTCGAAGTTAGATGGTGGGATCTCAAGTCCACCAAGCAAATTACATCATTTGTTTGAAAATAAAACATAATATAATGGTAAAAAGGGGTATCGATCATCGGGGAAATGGTTGTATTCAATTACCAATGCAATCCAATAGAACTAATGTAATAAAACTAACTAACTACAATTAAAATAAAAGGGGGGGAGTTGTGATTGCTTGAAAACTAAAAGACTTGAATAACAAAAAAGCTTACAATTAAGCACGATGGTGAGATGCTCAAATATTGGAGAGAATTGGTCAACCAAGACAATTCAACACAATGAACATTTGTGTGTTTATCATTAGGATTCAATATGAAGTTTATCATTCATCCCAAATTGGTTATAGCAGGAAGCATGATATGTCAAGATTCCTCATAGGTAGTATGGAGGTTGGGGAAGCCCACAACACACCTTCTTAATCAAAATCAAGGGTTCAATTGAAGTAATTGAACCCAAGAAAGTTGATTAGCCTTAAGAATGAAGGAATCCCCAATACCTAAAGGATGCAAATGCTTACACATCCATAAATGAGTAATGATTCATAAGCTATAGATGATTTCTACCATCATAAAGCCATTGTTCTAAGTAAATTCAATGATTCAATGCTAAACCAAAGAAATAAACCAACAATTGTTCATTCAAGTACCAAGCTCATGATCAAAGTATTAAACAAGCATAAGAAATATGAACTAGAATCATAAACATAAGATAAATGATAATTAAGTATGAATCCTTCAAAACCCACAAATATCCAAGGGTTTTAGCCAAAGTTAACCAAAATAAAGAAACTAGACACTCATGGCAACAAAATAACAATCACAACAGTGTTTTTGCATCAAGAAACTAACAATTACTTAGAAAGATGAGAAGAATGTGTATCAAGCTCCCAAAAATCGCATCCAATGCTCTCTAATGGTGGAAAATCGATGTATGAGCTGCTAACCCTAACCCCCAAAGTACATCATGAGCAAAATGACCAAAATCCCCCAAATTGTGCAGTTGTGCGGGTACCCTTGCAAGTGTTGCGCGACTGAGACTACACCCTCGCAAACGATGCTGGAATCCTATTGGCTCTTTTTTCTCCACTACACTACCCCATTACTCAAGATTCCCTTGGTCCCCTCCACACCTCACATGATTCAAATTTGGCCAATCATCTTCAAGCTTCAAATATGGATAGTCCAAGCCCAAAATAAAAATCCAAGACCCATCTTCATAAGCCCACTTCAACAAAGTCTTCAACTTTTTAAGCCCAATTCTTCTTTGATGGATCCAGAAAGCCCCAATAATGCCTCGAAAGCCCACAAAGCCCGTCTCCAAGCTAATCCACAACCGCAACAAGCTCCAAAACCCTGCAAAAATATCTCATGCAAAATAGAAAGTACCCGACACAATCAATGATAAAGAAAATAAAGAATATACAATGTAATACTAATAAAAAGAGCTAAAAATACTAAAATAAACTATAAAAAGAATGAAATAAAATAAACTATCATTAGACGTTTACACAAGGATGCTTTTAGTGACCCAGACTCTATAACGAACTTTAGTCAAGGCCCTAGTATCTTACATTTACAAGACCATATATTACATATGATGTTCAATAAGTTTGTTTGCACATGGATGATTCATGTGTTGACCACATGAACACACTAAATAGAATCATTTGATATATCCATGATACTCTCTCGTTTGGTCTTCACTATGTAAATGGCTAATATTCCTGCCATCTAGTTTTCGAAGGCCGTGTGCGATCGAGCAAGTTGCACTGGCTTTTGGGTCGGGCCTAAAAAAGAGAGCCTTGGCATCCCCTTTTTTAATGTTATTTGATACGAGCCTCGTATTCTTTGTTTTCTTAATAAACTGTTTCCATATGATCTCAAAAACCTTTGACCAAAACAAGTCCAGTATGGATGCTCTGAAACTCATACGAGTCTCTTGAATGAATTTGTTATTGTACGTATATTGAGACGTGCAGGAGTTCGTAGCCATTGTTGGATAAAAGGACTAAAAATCCCCAGCTCAAAGAATGAAAAGCAGGAAAAATATCTCAATAACCTCGACTCTCTTTAATAATATATCAAACAACAATATTACAATGTGCAAAACCATAAATGTTAATAATACATGGAACAGAATTTAACGGACAAATTAGATGATATTACAAATATTTCATCATTTAAAACCGTATCTAACAACCACACTACCTACTTTTAATTAGAGCCCATCTAACTATCTAAGACATATCCGATCCTATTCAGTATTCATATCCCGGTTGTGCATCAAACTTGGGGACAGTTTAACAACCTGTTTGGGATCAGTCTTGAACTTAAACAAATTTATACACCTCCATATAACATAACTATATTAATTATTGTCCAAATTTAATATAATAAACACTAACATGCTCTTCCGTTCACAGTGTAATATTTTACTTGTATGCTACAACCAATGCATGTGGTAATTCCAACCTTTTGTGGCTTAGCATTGAATAAAGTGATTAAAGTAAAGAATAATCACAACTGTCGATCGAACTTTCTTGTATTTGTACAGAGGGACTAAAAAAGCATTTAATTACAAAAGCAAGGGGTTCTTTTTTTCTATTAAGTGATTAAAGTAACGTAGGAATGTTGTCCTCCAGCTTGTCCTATGCCCACCCTTCACATGTCAGTTCGCACTTATTGTAAACCTCCAATTTTTTCATAGGCGGGTAGGATCCGGTGGTTGTAGTGATTCCCAACTGTCCAACCATATTTATATTATCTAAATACCAAAAAAACACCATGGCAACATATTATCTCGCATTTTACAAAATTTTAAAATTAAATATTCTTATAATACTTTGGTATTCAAGACAATTAAGATAATAGGTTACTTAACATTTAACTAGTGATTATTCTATAGAAACTTTATGTTAAAGATAACACCAAAATAATAATATTACGTTAGTCGTGTTACTTAATGAATATTTTTAATCTAGTTAGATCACTATATTGACATTTTCCTGCACCTGTTGGTAGGATGCTTTAAATCTTGTTTACCAAAGAGCTTAGATAATTGTAGAATGTTCTATATCCATTTATCAAAGAACCCGCGATATATGAATATATAGTTGATTTTCCAAGTTTAATAAGCTTTAATTGTTTCCTTACCATGTATATGCCTCCATCTACTTCTTACTTTCTTAGAGTTCATTTATAGATCTGCCTCAACTTCCTCATATACCTCCATCTTGTTACATAAAAACCTAGATAACTGATATTCTTTATGTTCATTAAATCCGCATGTTTCCCCATCCTATATCCACATGATTAAAATCTAGTTTAGCAAAGAACCCATATAGTCTAATAACCTATTCACATGTCTCCCCATCCTATATACATATGCTCAAAATCTTGTTTACCAAAGAAATCATATAACCGATTCTCCTATTTGTCTAACAACCTCCACATGTCTCCCCACCTTATATCCACATGTTCAAAATCCCATATAACCGATTTTCCTAGGTTTAATAACCTCCACCCCATATCCACATGTTTAAAATCCCATTTACCAAAAAACCTAGATAACCGATTTCTCTAAGTTTAATAAACACCTCTTGTCCCCTACTTTACATCCACCTCTTATCGAAAACCTTATCTCACATATGTCACATTCCCTAACATGTAATTTATGATATGATATATATTAAGCAAACCATAAAGATTCATGGCTTTTGTAGATGGCAACAATAGATCAAGATATGGAAATATCAAGTAGACAGTTGTCATTTTGCACAAAATATATATACATGGGCCTATATTGTCATATGCAACCATAAGGAAACATGCAATAATTTGGTCCAGTAGTAGTACCACCACCTTGCAGTAATCATTTGGACCACTAAACTTACCCTTCACAAGGGTTGTTCCACTATCAACCATTCATGAAAACCACCATCTTATCTATCTAATATCTATAAACACAACGCATACAACCTTTTTAATGCCAAAATTATACAAAATAATAAATAAAAAGACATACAAGGTTAATCGAAATAAAAGAGGTTCTTTGACATGATTTTAGTTACAGACCTGTTTTTACAAATGTATTTCCAAACCTAGATCAGCAAAATACAAACTGACATTAAAAAAAAAAAACAAAAAAAAAAAACAAAACGCATACAAATTTAAACCAAACCAATATATAAAACACGTAGTAAATAAAGAAAGAAGATAAAACGTCTTCTTTTTTTTAATAAAATCTCACACAAACCCTAATTAGATTATCCCCATCACCATCATCATCATCACATCATCATCATCATCATCATTAAACTTATTGTATTGTTTCAACGCTTTTGCTCAGTTCTTCAAGTTTCTTCATCCTCATCTTCTCACTTTCGCTAACCAACTGCTTAATAATTTATTAAACAAAGATGTATAAGTTAATTGACTTAATTCCAAACGGAAAAAAAAAGATTCTGTTAATTTTTAACGGAAAATTGAGATTTGAGATACCAACCTCCATCAATCTTGTGATGAGTTGTACTTTTTCTTTGTTCTTTTCATTAAAAGCGTCGAGGGCTTCCTTGTACTCTCTCTCCTATAAATAATAGCAACCAAGAAACAATTTAATAAAAAAATAAATAACTTTTTTTATTTTGTGACAATTTTGGAAAATGGGAATCCAATTTTATACCTTCTTCTGACAAGTTTGTCCAAGTGGCTTCAATTCTTTGTTGACAGTATCAATCCTTTTACGAACAACTGAAACTTCTTTCTTCATCGGATCTGTTAGGGCTTCGAGTTCCTAATAAATAATTATATAATTTAGTTTACATTTTTTATAAATTTGAAGGCAACCCACATGGAAACTTGATGATACCCTTTTGGGTATTGGGGGTAGTAATGTAATTTGATGTCTTTGAATGGGGGGAATGATGTGAGGTGAGTCATTGAAGATAGAGAGGTATAGAGCATAGACCTCCATGTGTTAACATTTAACAATCAAGGACAATAAAGATTCATTCTTTTGAAAGTATAACTTCATAAAGACTTTATATCATTATTGTTAAGTTCACAACTACTTTATGTCCCACCATTGATTAATGGAACTTGTTATATGATAGATATTTGGAGTTGTATGATATAGGAAGATACCAAAAATGCAGAATTGAATGCGGTTTTGAGGTCAAAAATGGTACAAATTTACATGACTTTTTGCCTTCAAATTAAAGAATCATAAAGATGAGAAGAATTCAAGTACTTGTTGATATAATTATATAACATGGGTGTGACCATATATGTGATTAAAAGCTTTAAGGCCGAATGATTCTTTTCAAAAAAAGAAAATAATCGGAATTTAAATACATATATTTGATTTCTTGAACAGTTTTGGTTAGGTTGAAACCTTATTGAAATAGATCTATCAAACAAGTTTTTCAGTTAAATTTTACTCTGAAAAAGAAGAATTGATGAGAAAAATACTCAGAGAGAAAACTCGATGGAATCTGGTTTTACTTTCCCCAAAATTCGATTCTCAAGGAGTCAAAATTGAAGTACTAATCGTTCACCGACATTATTGTTTCAATTTTTTTAGAAGAACACCGAAAACACTGTTCCCCAAATCGTACATGAAAACCCCCCCCAATTTTCCTTCCCAAAATCCAACAAGTTTGTGCAGATTCCTTTCATATAAACACACGATAACAAAATGGTTGATTTGTAAAAAACAGTATACAGGAAACCCTAATTTTTCATCCAGTAAAACGAACATTTTCAGTTTTCAATCACATATACGAAAATCGGAGAAAAGAGATTTTGTTATGGTTCGATTTCTGAAACCCTAATTTTATTTCTCGAAAAAATTGAAGAATTGAAGAAAACATGTAAGGTATATGAAAAATTGGGGAAACAGAAAGGTAAAAAGATAAGAAACAAACCTCACGAATACTGGCTAAACGCCTGGTTTCTTCTTCAATTCGACCCAACTGAGCTTGAACCCTTTCCCTAACTTCCAACTTCTTCTTCTCAATCTCTTCTTCTTTAGCCTTAAAAGTAGAAAGAGCAGACCTAGACATCTCTTCGTCTTCTTTGGTCATCAACCCATTGAAGCTTAAGCTGCCGGAGATTTGTCCAGCTTGCATCAGTGTCTGAAGCTGTTCGCTTGATTGCCTCTGTGTTTGTACCTGTGTTTGTGTAGTCATTTCTTGTTCTCTCTTTTTCTTCAACCAGAAAAAGTAAAAAACCCTCCTTCTTCCTCGAATTCCTCTCTTTATCTCTCCAATTGTTTTCTTCTTTTGCTTTAACGTTTTACTTTCCGTTGTGTGTATAGTGTATTCAAGAGTGGTGATTAGAGAAGGCAGGCCTAATGCCAAAGTTATGAACCCTTGTTGCCCCACCAGATGAGAGAGAGAGAGAGAGAGAGAGAGAGAGAGAGATGGGCAGAGTGTATGAAAATCGTGTATACAACGTATATATACATACATATATATACAAGGGCGTGTATATATTTTGCTGCCAGGGAAGAAGTGGAAATTACCAAAAAGCCCATGGATCTCCAATGGAAAGATCATGACATGAATGGGCCAGACAGAAAGATTCTTTATTATAGTCATAATCAAAATATTATCCTCCTAATTTTGTCCATGGTTTTTGACAAAAGAAACTTATAAAAGATTTATTCATTAAAATGACAAATATATCTTATCGGTTTTTCAGAAAATATCATCAAATAATCATCAAAATCGTAAATAAAAATACCCAATATTTGTCATTTTTCAATAATAACTTTCGTAATATCCTTGGAATTAGTTTAAAACGTGTGGATGATAGCCGTGAATTTATTTTCCCAACTATCCGATACGCTTTCTTGCAAGTAATATCTATGAAATTAATTTGTGTTTAGATACATTAAAAAAAATCTTGCTCGGATTCTTAAGTGTTTTCATGTGGCGTCGGACCTTAAAGATAATTTTCATAAATCTAAGGTGTATAGGATTGGGATCCACAATAATGACATTAATCATTGCGCGAATATCTTGGGTTGTGAGGGTGCCAAACTTCCTTTTACTTATCTTGGTGTCCCCGTTGGTGTTAACATGAATTTAAAGAAGAATTGGAGACCTGTTATTGACAGGGTGCGAGGCATGCTTTCGAGTTGGAAGTCTAAAACTCTTTCGTTCGGCGGTCGTTTGACTTTGGTGAAGTCAGTTCTTGGCAACATGCCTTTGTATTACTTTTCTATTTTCAAGGCTCCTTCGTCCGTATTCGATTTACTTGAAAGTATTCGTAGGAGATTTCTTTGGGGCGGGAATGAAGAGAATCATAAGATATGTTGGGTTGCTTGGAGACATGTTCTTGCTGACAGAGAGAGGAGTTGGCTCGGGATTGGTTCTCTCAAAAGTCTCAACATTGCCTTACTGTGCAAATGGTTTTGGAGGTTAAAAATTGATGGCTCCACGTTGTGGCAAAAAGTTATTTCTGGGATACACAACCTTGCTCGTAAACCGGTCAATAATCTATCTAAGAAGTCCATTGCTGGCGTTTGGAGTAACGTGGTGGCGATTTTGGGTTCTTTGGCGGATTTAGACCTTGATCTTTATTCATTCCTTTCCCCCAATGCCGGATCTGGTAGCAATACTTTATTCTGGCTTGATGATGGGCGCTTGGATGTGCGATTTCCTAATTTATTTGAATTAGATAAACGCAAATTTTGCTTTGTGGCTGACAGGTGAAAACCCCACGGACTTGTTTGGGCGTAGAAGCGGAAACCCATCCTTCAGGTGTAGGTGGCGGAGTTGGTCCAAATTAATAATTTGTTCGGTGGGGTCAGTCTAATTGGAGGGCCCGACACGTGGAAATCCAAGTTATCTGTGGATGGTCGTTTCTATCATTCTATGTTTATGATGTTCAAAAACTCATCGACTCCAAAGTCACGGTTGGTTTAAACAATCATATGATGTGGACTCATTTGGTCCCTATTAAAGTTAATTGTTTTATATGGAGAGTTAGCATGGATCGTATCGTGTCTTCTGCTGCCTTTGTTAAAAGAGGAGTTAGAGTGGTTTATACCGTTTTTCAACTTTGCAATGTTGAGATTGAAGGAACGGCCCATCCCCCGGTAAGATCAACCTCGTCTCGTATTTTCGTTTCCCTCGAGTGGTTTGACGTCATGTGAGTCGTTGTTGCCACCGGAAGCACCGTGGTCGCCATTTTTCTTGTTCCGGCCTCCTCAGCCACCTATTCGGTGGTTGGGAGTTGTTTGTCTCATACCTGGAAGAGATTAAGTTGTTGTTAGAACCACGAGGTGGTTGTGGGTGCTTGTTTGGCCAAAGAAACCCGAGAAAAACCCACCATGGGTGCCAACCATGGTGGCTGCCGCCATAGCATCCTTTCCTGCCGCCACCAGCCACCGTGAGGAGGTGGCTGTGTGCGTGATGTAGTGTGTGTGGGCCTAGTTAACGAGATTAATATTGTATGGATGTTCTTGGACAGGAAAAAACGGAGAGAACACGTCACCACTACCTGTTGCCGCCGTTCCGCCGCTGCTTCGTGTCACCACCGCCACCGTACGCCACCAGGTGGGTGGATGGATCCATTGCAAGCGTGAAAACGTGTGTGTGTGTGTGTGTATTTCTGCTATGAGGGCGTGTGTGTGTTCCGTTTGGCCGGAAAATCAAGAAAGCCACCGCCACGTGCCACCGCCGGCCACCACAAGGGTGGTTGCGTGTGTGTGTTTATTTAGTGTAGTGTGTGTGTTATTTTGTGAGTTCGTTGTAAAAATTGTAAAAAGCCCAAGGAATAATGAAAGTAACTCAAAACCACCACCGTGAGGTGGTGGCTGCCGCCACCAACCGCCGTGTTGGGTGGCGGTGTGTTTATTTGTGTTTGATTCGTCCGGGATGCATGAAACCCTAGTAGGCCCAATGAAGCCCTAATGGGCCCAAGGAAGCCCTAATTGACCTAAGGAAAACCCTAATAGGCTTAAGGACTTGGTTTTGGGCCTATTGGGCTAAGATGGGTTGAAAACCCTAATTAGGGTTTGTAAAACCCTAATGCCATGAAACCCTAATTTCGGGACTGATCGGGACCCACATCGGGATTATTTATTAAACTTAAATTATTAATTAATAATCGTTGGCATATTAATCTAAAGCAATATTGGACTTAATGGATTAAGTCCTTAATGGAATAAGTCCTTAATGGGTTAAGTAGGGACACTTAACCCTAATCATCATTTTATGTGAAACCCTAATTTCACTTGGGCCTTGAGTTGAGCCTTTCCAGTGGGCTTTGGTAATTGGATCATTAATGGGCCATCCAAGAATTATCATATGGACTAGACTGTGTTGTTGGGCTTTAGGGTAAGGCCCATGTGAAGGCCTGGGCCCGATTTGGAAAATTGGGCTATAGATGGGCCATAGTTTGGACCTTAAGGATTATATGATATTGGGCCATTAGAGTGTCAAATGCTAGACCGGAATAAATGGTTGGGCCTTTGAATAAGACCATGTAAAGGCTTAGGCCCAATTTGGAAAATTGGGCCATATGTTGGGCTTTGATTCCTAGTTTGAATTTTGGGCCTATGGATTGGACCTTGGGCTGGAATAAAGCCAAGCTTTGGGTAATGTAGTAATTATCCAAAGTATGTATTTATGGTTATGTAGTGGGGCCCAATTATTAATTGGGTGATGTTTTGATGTTGACAGTTCGGGAACCTGTCAACAAGCACTGGAGTTTTATCTGCGGGACTTCAGCAGTGCCAGGTGAGTCTCCTCACCATACCAATGGGTCTAAGGCACCAAGTCCGGCCCATTTTATCATATGTGGTATATTAGCTGAAGTCGTATTATGTGACATGTTAGCTGGTTATGTGCTAGGAAGTATGTTAGTGGTATATGTGGTATGTTTGTATGGAAGACCATGGGAGAGCCCATGGCACCTGGATGTAAGACCATGTGGAGAGCCCATAGCTTTCCTACTATGTTGTAGTGTTAATGTAGATTCACTACTGATATGTATGGTATGCATGTATAGGGGTATGCTAGTGATTATGTGGTATGCTAGTTGTCTTTGTGATACTTGTATGGAAGACCATGGGAGAGCCCATGGCACCTGGATGTAAGACCATGTGGAGAGCCCATGGCTTTCCTATCTAAGACCATGGGAGAGCCCATGACACTTAGGTGTAAGACCATGTGTAGAGCCCATGGCATCTTGGAGTAAGACCCTGGGGACGAGCCCACGACATACGTATATGTTGATATGTATGGATATGTGATTGATATGGCTTATGTAGCTTTTATAGCTAATATGAATTATGTGATTATGTGGACTGTGTGGGGTATACTCTGGGGAACTCACTAAGCTTCGTGCTTACAATTTTGTTTATTGGTTTCAGGTATCATCGATTTGGAAAAGAAGGGCTCGGATTGATCGCAGTGCACGCACCTATGTTTTCCGCGTTGAATGATTTTGGGATGAACTCTGATAAACGTTTTTAATTAACGATTTTTTAGATGTTTGGAATAAATGATATGTATATTTTGACTATATTAGAATGAAATTTTTACCCTCGATTTCTGGGTCGTTACAAAAGTAAGGTGTGAAGAGGTTTAAAGAAGAGGGGTCAAGTGATGCGCCACGCAACACACGCGCAACAGTTTTTAAGTCAGAAGTCTTCTGAAAAACAAACGGTTGCTAATGGACAAGTGATGCGTGTGTGCTGCGAGGCGCAACAATAAGTGGTAAGAAGTGGTTTTTTAGAAAAAAACAAACAACACCTAAGAATGCTAAAAAAGGGAAAGGAGACGCAAGTTCCTTCAATGCCTAACAAATATGATTATCATTCTAAATTCGAAGAATGTCATTGGTCCAGGCTTAATCATACCAAGATGTTGATCCGGATTATAGGGATTTTTATCGTCATGGAGCATTTTCACCCTAAGATCATCCACAATATCCACCATTAACCATTATAGCGGTGGTTGTCACATATCACCATATCCAACCATTAGACCTATGGTATATCTATCATTACAACACCACTCTGATGAGACAATGAATCAAGTATTGAACGAATTAGAGAGTAAATTTAAAGTAGAATTGAAAGATTTGAACACCGATGTAAATATGATCTGTTTGGCTCTATTACGCTTATGCAAATTTTACAGAGTACAATGAATATTCTGTAAAGACTTCGTTACTAAGACACTAGTAACCACTCCTATTTATAGAAGAGAAAGCGTACAAAAATATACTAAGGACTAAACATGAAGTTTCGAATATTATGCCCTAGTAAAATACATTATAAAAATGTTCGAAGACCCTAAATACAAACTTCGACTATTACAACATTTCGACCCTAACAATCTCCCCCTTTGTAATCAAAGTCGAAGTCTTCAGTTTGTAAGTAGAGTAATGGAGTACA